TGAATAATTCTTTCACTACTAGCAGGAATGGTAAGTACTATAGCCACTGTGGAATACAGCTTAATAGTTTATGAGAAAACTAAATATGCAACTACCATATGACTCACAAATTATACTCCTGGGTATTTATGTATCTCAGAGACATGAATATTTATGTTCATACCAACATGTGCATGAATACTTATAGCAGCCTTATTCATAATAGACACAATCTGGAAACAACCAACATATCTTTCAAAAGATAAATGACTAAACAAACTCTGGTGTATCTGTACCATGGAGTAGTGCTCAGCAATCAAAAGGAATAAACTACTCTTACAAATAAAATTGCAACTTGGACAAATTACTGGAGAATTGTAGTAAATGTAAAAAGTTAACCCTGAAGGTTTCTCATTGGATGATCCCATTTATTTAACATGCCTGAAATTACAAAATTGCAAATACAGAGAATAGATTAGAGGTTGGCAGAAGCTAAAGAAGGGGTAGCTATAGGAGGGAAGTAGATGTATCTATAAAAGGGTCATATAACCCTTTCATATTACAGTTTTGTAATATGGCACCATTGGAGGAAACAAAGTAAAGGACACAAGGAAGCTCCATATTATTTCTTACAATGGCATGTGAACCTATAATTGTCCCAAAATTAAAAGTGCAATTAAAAATGTAATATAAAAATCCCATCAGCAGGTATTCTGATCAGCTGGTCAAGGATGGGCCCATGCTTCTGTATTTCAGAAGCTCCCCAAATGATTATTGCACCCTATAACCAGAACTGAGACATGGTAAAGACTTGCACCTCCCAGAAACCATAGAACCTCCTAGCAGTTTTTACTCCTCTGCCTAACACCTCCCTTCTCTCCATTTGTCCAGCTAAGGCTGTCTTCAAGACAGCATAGGGATAGCTCCTCTAAAGAGCCATCCAGAGCACCAGTTTTCCTTACCTGTTAGGACCCACCCAGGTTTCACCACCATTGCTCTTTGTTTACTCGTCATGGTTGTTGCTACGCTGTTGTAATTTTATCACTTATGTCCTCCCCTCTTTCAGCAACTCTTGTAATTGTAATTCCATGTTCATTTAGCTCCTGAATTCCAGGGACCTTCCAAAAATTAGGAATAACTCCCTTTTTCCGGTCTTAGCCTAATAACACATTTTCAATAAGCAATGAAACAGGAGTGTCTAGACAGCACAGATTTCACAGAACAAAATAAGATTATTATGCTATACTTCTGTGGAAGATGTTACACAACAATAAGACTGTCTGATAATGGGGTCATAATGCCCTGTGCTGATGATACTTCTTATTTGTTTGTTAATTGGGTTTTTTTTCATATGTATAAGCAGATTTAAACTCTGCCCAATTTTGGGAGGCAGACACTGAGGGCTTGGCCAGCTTCCTCCCATTCCAGACCCCTGCTTTGGCATGTCTGGTTCTTTTTACAATCTCTCTTGCAAAGACATGATTGGTGATGTGACTTTTGTGGGGAGGCTTCGTGGCAGGCTTTCTCTACTCTTTCAAAGCAATATTAAAGGACCAGCTAGTATACCTTGGCAACACAATTTTTTATAGAATCTTCGAGGATAATACATTGTGCAATAATGTAAAATATATCGTGCCAAAAAATATATTGGCACTTTGTTATTATTAACTTTATAGGCTAATTTAAAGGAGAATTGATACATTTTTTATATTGGTTTATGCTATGCACTGAAATATTACTTCCTGGATGGCAGTGGTTTTACAGCTATTCACTGTTTGGCACATGGTAAGCACTCAGTTTTTATTGAATGACTAAGTAGGGCACCTTTCTGTTGTTTTGATCTTTCATCTCTCAGAAGTTCTTTAAGGTTTCCTTCCTATAGACCTTGCACATTTTTTAGTAAAGTTTCTCCTAGAGAGTTTACCTTTTGGCTATTGAAGGGATGTCTTCTCTTTCTATGATAACTTCTAACTGGCTCCTGTTCAGCTAAATAAAAGCTATGCATATATTACTATATACATATTGATTTTATTTTTTTAAAAAACTGTATTACTAAATTCTCTTATTGTTTCTAAGAACTTCTCACAATTCTTTTGCCTTCATCAAGCATCATTGTTACTTTTTTTAAAACGTTTGGGAGTTCAATAACTTACAAGATTGAATTACAACCCCCAAAAAAGATAGCAAACAACTAAATCCCATTCTGTCAGTGAGATTCTTGTTGACTGTGTTGAGTAACTAGTGATACAGATGTAAACCTGCATTTTCTGTTATAAGATAATTAACTATGGTGATTAAGAAAAACATCAAATCCAGAACCATCTCATTCCTTGCCAGTTGGGCACTGTCTGTTTTCTGTGCTGCTTGTTAAATTAGACAACATATAAAATTTGCTGTGAGGTCCTCTTTATTTGGGAAGAGATATTTGCAATTTAAATCACAAAAGAAAGGAGTTGTCAGTACATATTGATTTGCCCAAGTTCCTGTGTTTTACTGCAGTGTTTGCTCAGTAAGCCTTGATATAAGTGAACTCATGCAAATGAATGCATCTGTCTTCATTTCTCCTTGCCATTAGATCATTATGCAAACATTAAACACCAAAAAAGACACAAAATGATTGATTATTTGAATACAGCTTGTGGGTTAGCAGAAAGCAAATTCCAGAAACAGGTTCCTCCCTCTCCCAGACTTCTCTCCCACCCCCTTTGGAACCACCCATAACATATTTAGTCAAATCCTTAGGGACTGAAAGTAATTATTGGCCGCTAGCATTCTTGTGATTCAGCACATTTTCTTGCAACAATATTCTGTCTTTACTCCTGAGCCTTACCTAATTTATATTCCTTCTTTGGTCTGCTCTGCTCAGCTAATCCTAATCAATAAGTACAGCAGATTGGTTGGAAGACGAAATTGTGAAATAGATGTTGCATTTGGGAGCTCAAGCCTTCAGTTTACCTTGTTCCAGGACCATCTTCTCTGCTTTCCTCACAACACACACCGAGGCGGTGTCTGTGACTTTGCCTCTGTGACAAGGCTGTAAGAATCTTGCAGATAATGACCTTTCCATCTTTGAGTTTCATTGGTTGGCTCATAGTAGGCATTCAGTAACTTATTGAATCAATGAATGCACAAATTACCCAATTAACAGGGGTATAAACATTTTTTTTCTCAGTATTAAAATTAGCTTTTAGAAAAAGATTTGAAATATTTTTAAATTGAGAGGGTAATTGACTATCCAGTTTTAAAACTAGCCAGATCAATGGATTTATATTCATTTTAAAGGCACTTTACAGCTCTGTGATACAAATAGTCACCATGTACTATGTCATCTTGGTAACTTTATTTTTTAAATAATCTACATTTGTCTTCTACCAACAACAATTTATAAGGATTATTTGTTAAGTCAATCTCTTCAAGTATTAGTTGGGCCTGTGTAGGTTTCTATGGGGTAGGTTTTTATGAGGAGTCGTGTCGTTTTGTTTTGTCTTGTTTTGTTTTGTTTTGTTTTAAGGAAGCACAGGTGAAAAACACACAGTGATGGACTTGCTTACAAATGCTTCTGGTAAATGATGTGAAAGCACATGTACTTTTGTACACTTGAAAAGAATTTTGATTCTTGAATTTCAGTCATTATTTAGTCTCTCATATCAAATGAGCAAGCTGGCATCATGCATGCTCTTTGCCTCTTCCTTGCCTTCTACTTTAAAGGGCACTAATAACTCACACACTCAGCATCCATCGTGAGACTGCTGTGGAAAAGCAGCCTTCCTACAAACACATGCTGGGATGCTAACGTCACATGGCCATGTAATCTTGACAGCCTTGCCTGGAATGACATTCTTCACATTGCTCAGGAAATTAGTGGTCTTACGCCTCTTGCTTCCTTTTCCTAAGTAGTCTGTTCATCTCACTAGATTAAATGAGAAATTATGTTTTTCCCTAACATGATTTTTTTTTCATCCCCTAGTGGGATAATATACCAGCCGCAACAATTTTAAAGCCTTTGTGATAAGCACTCATAGAGATTTTTGAAACTAGAACTAATTCTTATGTATAATTAAGGAAAAGGCAAAGGTGTGCAAATATTCTTTTATTTTTATTTGTCTTTGAAAACTCAAGTCTGTTCTGTGAGTACCATTGTTGTCTCAGAAGATCATAAACCCCAGTATTCATAACTGATCCCAGAGAAGTTGAAAAAATGTCCAGTTTTCCCCATCCGTGCCTAGAAATTGTTCATGTAGGAGAGAAGGGAATAACATCACAGGAAATTAATACTGATTCATTTTTTATTTCTGAAAAGAAGAATATTTTAAAAGTTTTCTTATCTTCTGCTTTGGCTAAAATAAAGAGTTCCATTTTCATGTATAGATATTATTCCCACAGACCTGTGAGATTTAAGATTTTTATTATGTAAAGAATGAGAGATTTACATCATTTACTCAGAAGTTCAAACACCTGACCCTGTCTTTCTGTACTGCAATGTAATCTACGAGAAATGATAGTTGTCACATGTGGCATTTTACCTTGTTGTTGAAAGACATAAAAAAATAAAGCCAATAATGTTTTTCTTGAACCTGTGGAGCTCTCGTCTCCTGGTCCATAGGCTTTCTAAGCTGAAATGTACCATGCACTCAGAATCTGCTGCTACACTATATGTATTTATATTATTATTTAAAAATATATTCCTCCTCACCTGGCAACTTTCAGTTGTTCCATTTGGATTTCCAAGAAGAGAAAGTCACTAGGGAATGGCAGAAAACAAAGGGTGAATAGTATCATGAGACAGTTCAGACTATTTATTGTCAACCTAGAGTGACCTACCCCAGTGGTGCCATTTTAATAACCTCTCATAGAATGTCTGCTTCTCTTTATGGGATACTCTGCAATTCACAATGGAAGGAGCCCACAGATCTCTTCTCATACAAGAAAAAGTGGAAAGTTTGTGGGGAGGAGTCACTTAACCACATAAAACAGCATCTGTGTTTCTCTCATTTAATAAAGCAAATGCTTCTCTGTTACAGAGGAATTCAAAGGCTCCACTGTGGTGGAACTGATGAAGAAGGAAGGCACAACCCTTGGTCTGACAGTATCAGGAGGAATTGATAAGGATGGCAAGCCAAGAGTATCCAACCTGCGCCAAGGAGGAATTGCTGCTAGGTAACTGCCTCACAGGGAAATGTAGAAAAAGGAACACAGGGTGTAATTAATTCAAAATTAAAGCTTTATCAGCAAAGGTGACTAATAAATAAATGACAGCTGCCATCTGCTGAGCAGCACCTCCTAGCAGAGACACAGAGAATATATTTCAGAAGGTGCTCCCAGATGTGCCTATGTCTTTTCTGGCCTGTGCTAAAGTCACTTAGGAGAGTTTTGTGTCATCTTAGGGACAGCCAGGCTCTCATAAGATTTTTGACATGCTTATATTGATGTAGATCTAACTGTGCCATTGAACAGCAGATGGACTACGTTGTGTAAGGGAAATTGCCACAGAGGGAAATGGCAACCCAGGCAGAGAGGGAAGTCAAGTCTGAGTTTCCAAGGGGAAAAAAATTGCTTTTCACTTTTGTACCTGGGAGAGTTTCCTTTTCACCATGACAAAGACATGTTTTCCAAAAGGACAGAAGGCTTAAAGGAGTTCTTATTTTCTCCAGTTATGCCCAAAGACAGAATGTCTTAGATGCTGGATAGGGATAGGTTTTGTTTTATAGATTCATTCTAAATTTACCTCAGAGGAGTTGGAAATTTAGCCCAGTGGTAAAGCATTTGCCTAGCATGTATGAGGCCCTGGGTTCCATCCCCAAAATAATTATAATAAATAAATAAATAAATAAATACTTAGCTCTGAAAGAGGGAATGGAATGATCAGGTTTCATTGAAGGAATTAGACCCCAATATTCTTGTCCACATAATTCCAAGTTAAGTTTTAGAGTTCTTTCCCTATAAAGGGTACTTGAAATAGAGATTACTTTGGATGATCAACTTGTTTGTACAATTTATAATCTTAATCCAGCTAACTGCTCCATGACCCAAAGGTAGTCTTTGTAAGAGAGGCTGACATGAACCCAAACCCCTGAATCTGCCTCCTTTAAACTTGAAGAGGCTTTTTCCATACCCAGAGCCTCCTTTATTTCATAATATTCATAATCAATCTTTGATGTTCAAGCTCTATGTTTCTTCAGCTCCTTCATGTGTAGCCCAAGCAAGGGGAAAAAAATGCAGTTGTATTAATGTCATAAATAAATGTAGTACCGTACTAGTTATATTAAGTATTGAAAAAATCACCAAATATTCATTCTTTAAGGTGCTACCATATTACATATATTAAATCAAAATGAAAATCCCTGTCCTAAAGGGGCTTATAATCTATTAAGAGAGATAATGTATAAAACATGAAAAGTTTGGAATCAAAATGACTTTTCATAGTGGTAAGAAGCAACAGCTCAGGAGCTGTGGCCATGCTTTAGGCAGCTAAGTTGCCCTGAGTGTCAGTCCCACTGAGGTAAGAGTGACAGCATGCACGACAGGTGGGACAGACCAGAAAGACTCTCTTCAGAGGAATGATTGGAGCTGGATTTATATAAAATAAACACATTAGTTATTTCTATTTGGGGAAGAAATATTATTTAAGATCCTTATCTGTGACACAAATTATAAGTCCCATTATTGGTCTCACTGCAGGCTTTTGTTGTAGAAGTCAAGTGTGACTAAAATCCCCAGAGCAGCCAGAGTTCTATTATGGTGGTAGAGAAAGATGGGAATGTTACTGAAACACAAATTCTCTTTTTTTTTTAATCAGTCCTTCTAAATAATCAATAGAAAAAAAGTAAACAGTAAATAGCAAAATACTTTGACCCATTCCTTGGCCCCTGGACACACTCCCAGTGAAGATACTAAAATCTGTGAAATGTCCAAAAGGCAGTTTGCAAAAATGAGGGGGAATAAGAAGAAAAGGACCTGGAATATCTAGGATCTGGATCTATCTCCAGAGAACCAAGCTCTAGGGGTCTTGCAGCCAAAAAAAAAAAAAGAAATGGTTCTCTTTATTTTGTTTTATAGTGCTTTTAAAATAAAAGAGATATAACACTCAGGAGCATCATGAGTTTGAGGCCAGTCTGGGCTAAATAGTAAGAACTTGTCTGAAAAAAAGCCAAAAGGAAATAAACAACTGAATAAATAAATGAAATAAATAAAAGCAGCAAAAGGCTAGCAAATACCCAGAGATAATAGTATAGCCAGAGCAGGACTTCATTCTGTAACAGGTAGCCTGAGTAGACAGCTGCGTCCTCCACTGTAGGTTACATTCCTTCTCCTAGGGTCCACTCACACCTGGGAGACAAAGGTGTTACTATGCTCACTTTCTAAGCTTGCTTATTTAAGAGACAAGCCCTGGAGAGGATGTGTCCACTGAAGCAACATGGTCTCTTTTACAGAAGTGACCAGCTGGATGTGGGTGACTACATCAAAGCGGTCAATGGGATCAACCTAGCCAAATTCCGCCATGATGAGATCATCAGCTTGCTGAAGAATGTTGGGGAAAGAGTGGTTCTTGAAGTCGAGTATGAACTTCCCCCAGTCTGTAAGTAATCACAGCCCCGGGACAGAAAACCTGTACCATGAAGCACTTGCATTCTTATTTTTTCCCTTTTGCCATCAGTGTCTCATTAGAGCAATGGCAGAGCAGATATTTAAGTTAATATTGATATTTAATTGCCAGTATTTAAAAGTTATCTGAATTGATATATTTATAATCTCTTCAGGAAGAATTAAAAAGGACATAGGTCTAATGAAATTATCTGTGGTCAATGCTCCATTAAGGTGATCTGTGAATACCATTTTTGCCATTTAAGCTATTTTAATAAGCATTTGACATATTTCAAAATTGTGCATTAAGATCTGTAAGCTTTGTATTTAGGTTTAGGGAAAACATGTTTAGCATGTTTTATAATGACTATTATATAGATATATTCATGCCTGAAACATAAAAATAACTTTGAATAACATTATTTTTATCAAGTAAAAATAATAGTGATAATAAGAACAGCCAGCTTACTGAATGACTTATGATGCAAGGAACTGGACTTGCAATGATTTATATAATCCTCACCACAGGAGGATCCACAGAGACAAACTTTATTCTCAAATGGCCAGATTCAAATCCCACATTCACCTTTTACTAGCTATACTTTTGAGAAACTATTTAAACTTTCTGTCTCTCAAAAATCGTATGTTCTCCCTCATATGCGGACATTAGATCAAGGGCAAACAGCAAGGGGATTGGACTTTGATCACTTGATAAAGCGAAAGCACACAAGGGAGGGGTGAGGATAGGTAAGACACCTAAAAAACTAGATAGCATTTGTTGCCCTCAATGCAGAGAAACTAAAGCAGATACTTTAAAGTGACAGAGGCCAATAGGAGAAGGGGACCAGGAACTAGAGAAAAGGTTAGATCAAGAAGAATTAACTTAGAAGGTAACACACATGCACAGGAAATCAATGCGAGTCAACTCCCTGTATAGCTATCCTTATCTCAACTAGCAAAAACCCTTGGTCCTTCCTGTTATTGCTTACACTCTGTTTTCAACAAAATTAGAGATAAGGGCAAAATAGTTCCTGCTGGGTATCGAGGGGTAAAGGGGGGGGTGGTAAGAGAGGGAGCAGGGTGGGTGGGGGGTAAGAGGGGAGAAATGACCCAAACATTGTATGCACATATGAATAAAATAAAAATTTTTTAAATGAAAAAAATAAACTTTCTGTCTCAGTTTCTACACCTGTAAAATGGGGATAATATAAATTTCAACTCATAAACTTGTTATGAGAAATAACTGAATATTTATAAAAGATATAAGGCAGTACCTAATACTGTAAAATTTTGAATAAGTAATAGATCAATCAATCAACACTATAGATAGACATTATTACCTTATTTTTCTCAATTTACAGAGGCTTAAATTAAGTATCCTTCCCTAATCAGTAAGCTGCAAAGTCCATATGTGAATTCAGGCTGCCTGACTCCAAAGTCCGTTATCCATGTGACATTGACATATACCTTCCTGTGCTACATGTTACCACTGCCCTACCTTGAAGCTGTTCTAGTGCCACCTCTCTACATTATGAGTTATTAAGAGGGATGCTACCCTGGAAAGCTCTTTGCTCTTCCCTCCTGACAAAAACTCGGGTTTATTATGAACACTGGTTATTATTGACTCATGCAATGAAGATTCGTTGAGCATTTACTATGTTCCAGACACCATTGTATTCTAGGAGCCTTGGGTACATCGATGGAGTTTGCATTCTATCAGGGAAAGACTGATAGTAAAACAAAACTATAACAAATAAGTAAATTGCATAGTAGGGGTCATAACGCTATGGGAAAAAGAAATCAGCAAGGAGAGGGATTGGGAGTGATTTAGTTAAGGTGAGACTACTATTTTAAACAGGCTGTTTAGGATCCGCCATTGAGAAGGTGACATTGGCCTATTACTTGACGGAAGTGGGTGAAGTAGCTGTGTGAATTTCTGGAGGTAGAGAGTTCCAGAAAGAAGGAACAGCCAGTCCTGAGACCAAAAGGCAAGAATAAACCTAGGGTTGTTCTAGAAACCAGAAGTACAATGTGTCTGGAGCACCATGAACAGAAAGAGAAATAGGAGATGAGGTCGAAAATGTAAGGGGAGAGGTGTCCTTGGAGGCCATCAGGAGAACCTCGAGGTTTGTTCTGAATGATGCAGGAAGCCATGGTATGGCTTGGCACAGAGGAACAACATGATCTGGCTTGTGTCAGAGGCTCTCTTTGGATGCTGTGCTGTGCAGGGGGAAAGGGTAGAGAATAGGAGATAAGTTGAGAGGCTATTGCAGTGACCCAGGTGAGATATAGTGGTGGAGAGAGTGAAAAGCCATCAGATTCTGGATCTCTTTGAAGGTAGAGTCAACATGATTTCCTGATGGTTTGTGCAGAAATACAGGAGTCAAGGACATCCCCCAAGGTTTTAAGTCTGAGCAACTGAAAGGATGGAGTTGTCATGAACAGGGTGGCAACAATGTGGGGAGAGCTGACTTACAGGGGAAAGATCAGAGGATCACTGTTTGAAATACTATATTTGAGTTGCACAAGGAAATATATATATTTTTAAAAAGGAGCTGGTGATATGGTTTGGAGTTTGGGAAAAAGATCCGGACTGGAAATATAAACTGAGAACAATGGGAATTAGAGACAGTATTTGAAGCTCTGGGATCAGATTTGTGCACTCAGAGAACATGTTCACAGTCAATCAGGAGTTCATGTTCTTAACAGAAAATGTAATATTGAAAGTCTAGTACTCATAACAAAATCAGTTTAAGTGTGTTAAATAGTATTTTTCATTTTCAGCAAGAGTAGGAAAATAATAGTTCTAAGAGTTCAAACTATGTGTTTGTTAAATGTCAGCTTTGCACATTTCCAGATTTGTGACCTCTGATATGTTAAGTTCTCTGGGACTTAGGTTTCCCACCTATAAGATGGCTATAATCATTGTTGAATGTTGGTAATGATTCAGTGCTATAATAACATAATCATTACTTAGACCATTATCACATACTTAATATCAGCAGCTAGTAATATTAAACATGTTTACTATTTTTATTGCTGTTACACTAAAAGTACCATGTTTTCTTGAAGATTAGAAAGTACAGTTGGCTTTGAAATCACTCTCAGGCTGGAAGTATGGCTCAAGCAGTAGAGCGCCTGCCTAGCAAGCATAAAGTACCACCAAGAAAACAAAAAGATTACTAAATTAAATACTATCTCAAACTATTGATCCAGATATCTAGAGTTAATGCTTCTTGGTTATGCATTTGCATCTCACTGGGTATATGAGGCATGGGAGGAGAAGGGAGAGTAATGAAGGGGATGATCCAAACTGTGGTATGATATATGTACATATGGAAACGTCAAAAAAAAAAAACCTGTATAACTATCATATACCAATAAAAATGTTTCAAGAAAAACACAATCCCTTCCTAAAGGAGTACTCAGTATAGCTTTCAGTGTGGTATAGCATAGCAGTATAGCTATAGTATAGTATAGCATAGCAGTGTGGGTGATTCAGAGCTGGGCGCTTGGGGTAGGAGACAGTGCAGATAGTAGAGGAAGGGGACCATTCCAGGCAGAGGGTATAGCAGGAGGGATGAGATGATCAATTGAGCTAGTCCGCAGGTTAATCCACAGATATGAGTTCTTGGAGAGGAAAGGGAAAGGCAGGGAGGCCATAGATAGGGATGAGGCCAGAAAAAAACAGGAACCAAATGACAAAGGCCTTTTGTATAGATGGCATCGTGTGGGTGATGGGGAGTCCTTAAAGGCTTTTGAAACTGAATCATTAGCTCAAACCTGTTAGATTTATCATTTTGGAAGTGGTAAACCTGAAGGTTGTTAAGAGTTTCCAAGAGAGGTGATACATAAATCAATAGTGCTTTCATAGAATTATAGAGGAAAGGGCAGATATCAGAAAAGTTTAGGAGTAAAAATCTATCATGACTTGGTGGTTACACCAGCTTTTTTTCCTCAAGCAATAGGCTGATGGAAAAGTGGAACACATATTTTTAAACACAAAGTGTAGATTGCCCTGGTAGAAATCAGATAGAAGAGGTTCATTCTCCAAGGATGATCTCTGTCTGTTTTTAATGTGTTTGGAGGAATTAATAAGATCTTTGAGTTCAGAGAGATCAAAGAGATTAATGAGCCTCCCCTTCACTTGGCTCAGACTGCTAAAGCCAACAGACTCCGGGAGCTCAGGCCCTATTTACAGAACTGACTGGTAAAAGATAAGCCATCCGAGGCCAAAACAGTAACTCTCCAGATCACAGCAATTTGAGCCTCAGCCAACCTCAGAGTTCAGAAAGGACTATTGGTCTTCATGAGCTCTGTATTCCTTTTTAATTTAGAAATTATGTGATACTTTGAGACTGTACTTAGAAAGAATATGACCAAACTGTGTCTTAGGTATTTGTGCATTAAAAACTGGTCCAACCTGAGCATAGTGGCTCATGCATGTAATCCCAGCTACTTGGTAGTTGGATATCAGAAGAACAATCACAGTTAGAGGCCAGCTTGGGCAAAAACATTAGTGATCAATATGCTGGAATCCTACCTACTTGGGAAGCAGACATTAGGAGGATCACAATTTAAGGTCAGCCCCAGCAAAATGTTAGCAGGATCCCATCTCAACCAATAAATCAGGTGTGGTGGTACATGCATCTTGACTATGCAGGAGAACATAGTTAGGAGGATCAAGGTCTGAGGCTGGCCATGGGCAAAAATGGGAGATCCTACCTGGAAAAATAATTAAAGCAGAAAACAACTAGAGGTGTTGTTCAAGTGGTAGAGCAACTGCTTAGCAAGTATAAGACCCCGAGTTCAAATCCCAATACCATAAAGAAAAGTTGCTCCAGAGAAGTGTCTTCAAACTGTTGTGGTCACATAACCCCTACAGAACTTTGAAATGTTAAAAAAAAAAATCTCACCTATTTCAGTTGACATTTCAAATTCTTTATTAGAAGCTTAAATAGTTGGAAGAAATATAATTTCTGTCATGTTGATTATTCAACACTTCAATCTTGTTTTCATTTAGACCTTGGAGCTGTAAATTGACCTTATTTAACCAAACGAGGTCTCCCTTCTTCTCAGCTTTAACACAGATAACAGATTAGGCAGATGATAGGTGACAATGGTGTGGTGGTGGAAAGAGAGAGAAATAGAGAAGGTTTCCTCCCTGTGGTTCATTCTGGCTCTGAGTTTAAAGGAGCACTGCTGCTCAGGAGAAGTTCTTCCAGGGGCAGAAGAACAAAATGACTAGTCCGACCACAGGAACACATGTTCAGCTTCTGCTGGCATCTCTTAACCTCACAGTGGCCTAAGCAGGACACGTGGAGAAGGGGAACATAATGCAATGGGAAGCACACAACTCCTATGCTCCTACTGAGACTGGGGTGGGGAGGCAGGGAGGAGGGCATAGTTTGGAACAATCTGATCTACCATGGTAAAATAACTTCATAGGAGCACACGCATATTCACATATGGAAACAAGGGACAACAGTATAGTTAAAATACTGAGGAATAGTTTGGCATTGAGAAATGGGTTTCTACCTGGCCTTTGATTCTTTGGCTTAGCCACTTAGTTGCATCTCTGAATCACATACACTTTACTGAAGTAATGAGTACTATCCACATAGCCAATACAGGATATCTGATACTGGGTGTGAGAACCCACTCATCAAGAGCTAACCATCTAAATAAAAAGTATAAAGATCAAACCTGTCTCAGTCATTATATTAAAACGTAGTCAACACTTACATTCATCATAGGAAATGATGGAGAGCAATAGTGTAGCTAATTTAAAGCTATAAATAATCCCCAAAGTCTTTATAGTGATTTTAGATTTGACTGTAAGATTTTGTTGTCAGCAAGATTTAACAAGAGCAAAATTAAAATTGCAGTACTTTGCATTCCCAGAACAGACATCCCACCAACAAGGACAGGTGGCCCAGAATTAGAATTTGGTTGTATATAATTGAAAGATGATTTAATGATTAAATAAAATAATATTTGCAAACCACTTTGCAGAGTTCTGGGCATGCTAGATGCTCATCAGTTATTTCTCCATATTATTTGCTTTCCTTAGTTACCAATAAAATGAAAGCATTGTGTTTTTAACCAATTTCTTGAAGTGGCTTGTTGGGTTGTGGAAATAAGAAAACACTGGTTTAAAACTAATTTTGTTTTTCATTTAATTAAAACTATACCTCAACTCTTTCAGCTGTTTGTAGTACTGTTCCTAGTTGATTAGAATAAACTGAAATTCCCCTGATAACAAGAATATGACATTTAATTAAATCAGCAGCATAGCAAAACATTTGTTCAGCTGTAGGTTTATATGGCTTTTCAACAGATCCAAGTTCTTATTGTACTTGTGTCCCAGCTGATAGTATGCAGCCTGACTTTATATCCCAGCCTGTTTTTGTGAATTTAAATGTGTACTTATCATAATTGTTTGTACAGTATTCTTTTGGGGGTTTAGATTTTCTGATAATTAAAAATAATTTTAATGAGTGCCTAATTAAAACTATTAACTACTTCTGTAAATGACAAGTATTTTTTAATTCCATTAATTTAATGCCTTTAATTTCTGTCTATATACAGATGCCTCTGGATATGATGGGATTACATCCCAATAAACCCATCATAAATACCTAACCCAGCAAACATCAAACCTTAGCCTAAACTACCTTAAACATGGTCAGAATATTGACATTAGTCTATAGTTAACATCTAACACAAAACCAATCCCATGATTAAAGTTCTGAATATCTCAAGTCATTTATTGAATACTATAGTGAAAGTGAAAACAGAATGTTGTATGGGTACACGTTAGTACTATCTTAAAGTTGAAAATTGTAATTTTCATTAAGTCACAAATCAAATATTTATTGTTGGTAGTTTGGGTAAGAAGCCCTTTAGGATCTAGTAACAATGTGAACGTGTATTATTGATAATGAATGTGGCATTAAATAATTAGACATTATTGTACAAATTCAAAAAAGGATCTAAAACCATCTACTTCTGCACATTATACAAGTTTTTCTGTCTCCATGAATAAAAACATCCCTATGTTCGTCATGATAAATACTAATTTGTGAAAATATTGCTCTTTTAAATGCAGCAATAGTATACTATACAACCAGAATTACTCACTAGTTTTGTAAGAGCAGTTTTGCAGAATGCTTTAGTGACTATGCCTTCACATAACTTACACCCTCATACATGTGTATAACGTAATTAGAGATTGCAACTTGGCAATGCAATTTCATTTTGTGAAGTGAGGGCAATAAACAGGCAAACAACATAAGCATGATGATATCAAGTAAAATTAAGTAGATCTTTATTTTCTTAGTAGTAATATTTTGAATGTGCTTAGGATATTTTTTGCTCTATAAGTTTCATTTGGGTTGCTGATGTCTTGTTTTATAGTTATTTATATGTCAGAACATCTATTTGTATCAGCCTAATCTATTGATAGCAACCTAGAAGTGTTACTTTAATTTTCTTCCTGTACCAGCTGCAAAAACAAAAATAACTACAGAAATTATTTCACAAGGTTTGCAAAAATCATATCACTTTTGTATTTCACAAAATGCACTTATTGAAGATTGTCTTTCCTGTTATGTAGAGTTTAAACAATGTAAAATCACCCTCTGTCTAAAATCTATCTATACAGAAGGAAAAGAACTAGCTATGATATTGGTTTTACTTGGACCTGTCACTTAACAGGATACTTGTATGTCATTACAATTATTTTTTTACCATCTTACTGGAATTATTATTTTCTTATTCCCCAACAGAAATTACTTGCAAGAAATCTTGCAGTATTTTATGCCACATTGAAAAATTTTTAAATGTGATTATAACTTAAAACTTATATTTCCCTCTCTTTCCCCATATTCAGCTGTACAAGGATCAAGTGTTATTTTCCGAACAGTGGAGGTCACATTACATAAAGAAGGCAATACCTTTGGCTTTGTAATACGAGGTAGGTATTAGTTAAAAAATGTGAACCATCAGGTACACTTGGAGAATTTGTCAATGAAATACTGAGCATGAACAGGAAAGTCGTCCTCAAAAATCTCATGTTTCCATTGTGCCAAGTCATCTTTTAATATTTGTACCTAGTCTTCTTTAAATAAATAAAACAACAGAGGGGAACACAATAGAATCTAAATAATCAGCTTTTTTTTTTAGTCCACAAAAACAGCCAACAGCCACTGCTTGTAAACCTTGTCTTACAATCATCTCTCCAATTCATCACTTTTCAGCATGTCTTTTGCCTTTCCCTTTTCTGTTATAACTGAATCAAAAACGATGAGTATGGCTTGATTTGATTGAATACACAAGGATTAAGCAACTTTATTTAAATTAATTTCTTCTGAAATACATTTTGTTACTGCAGCTTTCTAAAATTGGACTGAACATAATCTAATCCCTTGGGTACTTGTGTGCATCAGCTCATCTTATTATGGGATAGCAGTGATAATAAAAATTCCAAGCAACTCCAACTTGTCTGTAAAGCCATTCATTCTGAACTGTGATTATGGGTTTTTATTATTTTGTTTTTTCTTGTTAGCAATTTCATCCTAAAAGGGTATTCCTACATTATCAACTCTTAATTCCTACTATGACAATGAGGTTCAATAGAGAATTATATAAGCATCAGGAAATTTTTAAATATTATATATTTCTTGATTTCCTATTTTTACTTATAACATTATATCTTCACCAGAATCAAAATTCTGTGAAAATTATTAAAACATTAACATTAACTAAGCATCTTAATAGATATACATGCATCAAACACTAAAAGAAATGTGTTCACTTATGCAAACTTACCCTAAGTGACTGAGATCTAAATGTCAGGTTCCAATCTGGTCAATCATTTAGCAAGTCAAGCGATCAACTGTTAATTAAGCACACAGCAACATGTCAATAGAGGAATAAGTACCATGGAGTCTTAAGACAGAAACCCTGTCCTGTCCAGTGAATTTAAGACACGATTGATAAAGTTCCCAAGTGAATCATAGAGAGGATGAGGAACTAAGATCTCATTGTGGGCTTTACATCAGTAGTTACTACATTTCTCTAACCAAGGCCTATTTTTAGGAAGAACAATAGACCCCATGATCATTGGTCATAACCATTCCCAAATTTCTGTACAAATAATTAAGTAAATATAATGGAAAGTTACTATGCAAATAATTTAGGTGGAAGGTAGTATATACAAATCTGTTTTGCAATATAAGTATGAAAGAGAGTGCTCTTGAATCACATGCATACAAACCTAATTATTGAAAAACCAGTAAAAATACTTCTGGAATATTCATCACTAGTTTTTTGTAAGATTGATCAATAATAAGGCAAATTGCTAACAAAAGAACTAACACAGTAACAATTTATCATTAGGAGATATAAAGAATAGAAGCAATTGAATTCCAAAACTACCAGAAGACAACTGATATCGTAATATAACCAAAATGTCCTTCCCACAATTTGCAGAAATTTCAAATCTCAGTGTGCTTGCACAGGAGTTTAATATGAGCCTAGAATACAATGGGTGGTACTTAATAAAGGAGTGAATGACTAATTAAATGTTGCCTACATTGGTGTGAGCATCAGACCTCTTGGTATTATTCTGATTTTAAAGCCTTAGTGATAATGAACAAGTTATAGTTGATAAGTACCATATTTCTGTAGGGTTTAATAACTTTCTTAATGCAGTGGTTGAACATAAAAGCTTGCAGAATTTTGCATTTTTAGATCAGTTTGAGGCCCACCTGCTCAACAGGTGACCACCACCCATCCCTTAATGATAATTAAATGAGAATGTGCAGTGGGCAAATATTAGCATGGCCAATAAGAAATTTTGGCATAGATGGGATTTGAGCTAAAGTTAGAACAATGAAGAAATCCAGGAAAACAGAGCAGATTATTGCAGATGGAGCATTTCCATTTAGTAATGGAGAAATTCTTCTTAACCTGTTAGAATGGAACTTTGAACACTATAAGTTTTTAGCTGACGAATTTATAGTGCCATTTGTTACAGGTTCTAAAATCTTGACTCTCCAAACAAAAGAACTTTGCACCCATCAAATGGAGAGCAATGCTCTAGCTTAAACCTTGGAGAGTTAAATTTCAGTTAATTCCCTGCCACCAAGCCAAAGGAGTTGGGCTGGGACAATAGGAAAAGCACTCTACAACTAAACTTGCTTTTCAGTTTGGACAAGGAAACTTTACCTAGTCATTCTCAACTATAAAATTGTAAGGAAGTCTACTCATTATAACATATGCTACTGATACTCAGTTTGGCTCTCTACTGTGAGCCTGGCATTGATTTTTTTTTTTTATGGTACTGGATATTGAAGCCAGGGCCTCACGCATGCTAAACATGTGCTACCACTGACAGCAGTCCCAGCCAAGCACTGAGCATTTTATATGATGCAAATGTGTATTACTAAGAAGAGAACAGTATTGGTCTTTGAGTTGTCTCTTTTGCTTTGCAGACTTAAGCTTCTAGAATCGAAGTGAATCACCCACTAAACTTGGTTCGTTGTTTCAAATAATGATAAAATGTCACATACCAAGAAATTCAGAACTACCTCAAAATTAACTTTTCACATTCAATGTTTTATATTTAAATTCGGACCTACAAGTCATAACTATGGAAAAGTTCCTTGCTGCCTTCAGCCTATATCCTTTCCTAAATCACTACCCCTTCAGGAAAATCTATCTGTCTTTTGGAGACCACCTTGCAAAAGGAAAAAAAAATGCCTTTAAGTTTTTCTCTTAAACTGAATTCCCTACCTATGCAAAATTTGTGAAATGTCAATCTGTCCTGCCAGGCACACATTAAGGAAGTGATAGGTGGCAATGGCCTTCATATTTAGCAGATACTGGCAAACTAGAGTCTTCTTAGATGGTTTGCCAGGATAGTGATGTACAAGGAATTCAGGTCATATGAAGAATAGTTAAAGAAACTGGAAATGTTCAGCCTTAGAAAGATGAGGCTAGCAGATGTATAATCACGAGTATCAACTTTCAGAAAAACTTGTTTGTAGAAGAGAGACTCATTTTTGCCTTACTGCTCTAGAAAAGACTAGAAACCAGTATATGGACATTGAAGAAAAATAGGTATCAGGTGAATATTAGGCAGAACTTTCTAATACTCCCTACCGTCCCCTGGTGTCCAAATGTAGGACTGACTACCTCATCTCTAGTGAATAGTCTAGCCCTGTGGGTCTCAAGCCGAGGCTGAGGAAGCACAGAGTAAATAAGTCGTACAAAGCAGTTCTGAATCACAAAGAGAATTTACAATAGATCACCTTTCATCTTGAAACATCTATTTCTAAAACCTCCTGTGGAGAAATTTTCCTTATGCAAAATTTAAGTCACCATTTATAATTGGCTTAACAAGGTCTGCCAAATTTGCTCCCAAATTTTTGGAACACACTACTTTTAAAATCCTTCTTTCTTTTTTATACTAGTACTTTTTTTTCTTTTACTTTAGTTTTTGCTTTCTTTATGTATTATAACACAGGTTGATTAGACAAAGTGTACTTACCTGTGCTTTGTTTGTAATTAGCTGTTCTTATTGGACCAGTACTTATAATTAGTTGATCTTCTTACCATACCAGTTTTACATCACCTTGACTACAGCCATATATTTATTGGGAGGTGGAGAACTGGTGACTTTAAAATTATAACCTACATAAAATGAGTAAGACCTTTAAAACTAGTATATGCCAGAAGGAAATTTTTACATGTTTTCCTCCATATATCAACAAACATGCTGCAGTTTCTCAGCTGGAATTTCTTAATGTGGCAACAAAGAAAGTCTCTTAAGCTGTATTCCTTTTCTTTATGAGGAGGTGCACACGATGACAGGAATAAGTCTCGTCCAGTTGTGGTAACGTGTGTCCGTCCTGGAGGGCCCGCTGACAGGTAAGCTTCAGCTTTCTGTATCACCATACAACATGGATTAAATATAGCTGAGGACTTTTGCATAGAAATTGATTTATAAATTTCAAAGTAAATGATAGCTATTAAGTAAATATGTTAGAATGTGAAAACTAAGAGTTTGGTCTGTGGAATCAGGAAAATATAGTTTATTTTTAGCAAGTAACTTAGTTCTGAAGCTCAGTTCCTTCCATTGTAAATATAGACAGTTCCATCTGTCTTTTGGGTTTGTTCATTTTTATAAAAGGGGGAGATGATATAGTGTCTTCAGGGGCACTTATGGTATCATGCAAGTGGCACTTACGAACAGCAGCCAGCTCTTTCAAGGCAGGCCCCAAAATGCATCTTCTTCAACTGCTAACCTCTCAGCCCGAGAAGGTGGGGGGCAGGGGGTGATTCTTACTGTTATCAGCATCCCCATCACTATTACTGTCACTTCTTGGTGTTGACTGCACATGGCAGAATGGAAGTGACTTTTAGTCAAACGGAAGGAAATGAGTTTTCACATCCTTACATTTCTCCTCCTTGCAAATGTGAATATGTCAAAGAGAAGTACCCTCAGCTTTCCTATCATAAGCCTGTTGGGTCCCAAGTAAACTCACAATTTGATGCCCCTGGAGAATCATCCAGGTTACTTTCGCACAGCAAAAACCAACTCCATAATTAAGGAGGGACACAACTCCTGCCAGTAGACATTGCAGAAAGGTAGGAGGAAAATGTAATAATTGCTTCTGTCTCTATTTTAGACCAGGATAGATTTTAAAACATTTTTAGGTGATAGAAATAATAATAACAAGTACTGTTTATTAAACATGTACTATGTGTCAGTAATTGTGCTAATAACTACTTAGCCAACCGTTTCTTATTTTAGCCTTACAATCACCAGGTAAATAAGGTATTTTGTTTGTTTTATTGATGACAAAACAGAGGCCCAGTGTGGTTAAGTCACTTAACAGATATTAAGTAGAAGCAGACACCAAATTCAGGTGTGTTTTCACTCAAAGCTCACTGGTAGCTCACTTTTAAGAAACATGATGTTTCATACAAAATAAGAGAATAAGGAAACACTTGTTTCTTACCTGTTCTAACATACATTTGCCTTTGCAGAGGATAATACAAGTCAAAACTTCTAAGGAAATTTTGCCTTTTTCCTTTCTCATGCTTCTTTGGAATTCTCCTTTTTGAATTATGTCCATTTCTTATTAACATTTAGGGATAGGGTTAAAAGGAATATCAGAAACAAACTACAAGAGCCAGACAGGGAAGCACATGCCTGTAATCTCAGCTACTCTGGAGCTGGAGGTAGGAGGATGGTAGTCTGAGACTAGCACAAGCAAATACTTGAGAACCTACCTGAAAAAAAAAAGGCTGAAGACAAAAACAAAAACTAAGAGCAAAAGGACTAGGAGCATGGCTCCCCTGAGATACATTTAACCTCCAAAATTGCCAAAAAAAAAAAAAAAGAAGAAGGAAAAATAATAAAAGTGATCAGACTACAAGTTTATGAAGAGTGTGTTATCAAATTAATTTAGAACTAATGGAAATCTAAGCATTGAAGATAAAAATTTAGAGGCAAAGCACATAGGAAGAAGAAAAATAGAAGTGATGAACCAATTCTGGTTATAATACATATCTACATGGAAATGTCAATGAAACACCCTGTGTAGCTATCTTAAACAAACAAAAATGTCACTTTTTTCTATTACAAAATCAGAGAACAGGAGGGCTGAACAAGACCTGTCTGGGGGGGTTGGTATTAGTTGAGGGGGGAAGATGTGTGCAGGGTGAATATGGTGCAAATGCCATGTACACATGTATGCAAATGGAAAAATGATACCTGGTGAAACTATTCCAGGAATGGGGGAAGAGGGGGTTAAGGGAGAATGATGAGTGGGTGAATTCAAGTATGAATACCATTTGCCTGCTTCTTCCAAGGAATAGTGAAACTGATTCAGTTAATGATTACCAAATGGCCTTATAAATCAGTAAGGAAATTTACAGACTAGGAAACTTCTCACCAGCACTCCCTATTCTGCTTGGCTTCACTGGTAATAAAATGAATGAAATTAGAAGGCTTTTTCTGCTCACCTGACTTTGGGGAAAATAGGTGAATGCTTTTTCCTGGGCTCTAATAAATCAATTTTAGACTTTAGACTTTTAGGCAAAAACCTAGCAAAGGGAAAATGGGCCTTATTCATGTTTGTGCTCTAAGCGTTAGCTGTGGGTAACTAGGTTATTTGCTAATACGTAGTTATTTTCTCATTACTGATTTTTGTATTACAGCTGTTTTCTGTTCAGGGTTATGTTTTTACACTCTTGCTGTTATACTTGATACCTAGAAAGAATGCTAATGAGAAGCATGGTGGAATATGTGTGAAAGAATGACTTTCACTAAGTGACTATTAGTGTCAAGCCCCATTATGCTAAATTAATAAAGAGTGTTCCTTTATTTTTTTTCTCTAGAGAGGGCACAATCAAACCTGGTGATCGGCTGCTCAGTGTGGATGGGATTCGTCTTCTTGGAACCACGCATGCTGAAGCCATGAGTATTCTGAAACAATGTGGACAAGAAGCAACGCTGCTGATAGAATATGACGTCTCCGTGATGGGTACGTGGTCTGGAAGGTGTGATCTCTTCAGCTTTCATCATATTACAGGCCATTCCTGATAAACCACCTGGGGTTAAGTTGTGTTCTTCTGCCCCTCATAGCAGACAGAATGTCATCAATACTGTATCATTCTACCTTGTCTAAGTTCAGGAAGAGGTGAGTGGTACTTTTCAAGGTGTAAAGCTCTCATGTCAATAGGTTCTATAATAAAGTCTCATTCTGTCAGTGTTTCACCTAGCAATCAGCAACTCTGTATGAGTTAGCCTTTGGTAGAAAGGCATTTTTCCCCTCCAGAATCACAAAAATAGTGTTATTAACTTAAGGACTGCTACTTTTCCTTTTACTACATGGAGACTGGCAGCAGCAGGAGACTCCTTTTCTTCTTGTAACTTCACACTATGAAATCAGCTAATCAGAATTAACAGAAATGACTATTTCACCATCAGACTTAAGGATAAGGGAAAGAAAGAATATGTGTAGTACCACTGATTGAAATTAAAACTTAATTTTTTCTTTAAAAATGATTTAATAGAAAGTAATTCTATTTCTATACTTATGCCTATTATAAAACTGTCAAGATGTTCTCATTTGGGTTTTAAATGAGAACCAAAGATTTGTGTGACATTGGCTAAGGCAGAAAGATTACGAAAGAATGAATTAAAACTACAAATGGAAAGTTAAGTATTCCTTACAGTTATCAGACTTGATTATGTGATCTGGCTTTTCCAGCCAGTTTTATGCTGCTGAGATATAACAAAGAAAAAGATGATAATTCTATAACTACAAACTCCTTTGTTTTCTACTCTGTATGATTCACATGTAACAATGGCATCTGAGAGTATTCCTAATCAGTTTGCTGACCTGAAATGTGTAAGAAAGGTATCAGGTTCCCTGAGAGGCTTAATGGATGAAATTTAAGTTGTTATCTTGAGTGGTGGCATGATAACCTTAACATGAAAAGTTCCCAAATAAATATCCCCTCTTTTACTTTCCTCCCTCCTTTGGTCCTACCCCTTTTTCTCTCCCCCTTTCCTCTTTTCTTTCTCTACTTCTTTTATATTATGGCATTTTGATTAATTAATTTTAATTATTGTGCTGGGGGTACATTGTGACATTTACAAAAGTTCTTACAATATATCACAGTAGATGATTTGGGTTCTGTTTGGAACCCTACTAACTTCTAGCTATTGACTTGGACCATGTGACTTGATTTCCTTACGTCAAATGGAAACTGTCAATGACGATTTTAAATGGCAATTATAAAGATAGCATAAGATTATACAAATAAAGTATATTTTAAATGATGAGACAAGTGAACTATTAACATTAAAAATTCTAGCAGATAGTTGGTGTATTTAACTCATTCATTTAGTCTAAAACATTTATTGAGCAAAATAGCAGGTGCCAGCTATACAGAAGTAAATAAAACAGACCTGGTCCTTGCACTTATGGGGAGTGCAATGGGTGGGAAGAACAGATAATAAAGAAGAACATTACAAACAAATAAGTACTCACCAGGTGTGATTGTCACCACATGGGCATTCAAGAGTCTGGTCATTTTATTTTCTAAGAGTTCATCAGACAGCGTACTTATTTTTTTTAGGCTTTTGCTGACAATATTTCCAAAGTATGGTTTTGAGCATCAGTGCTCAATTAGATTCTTGAATGATAGTGGAATAGTACACAGTTATATCAAGAACATTGCTCTGCACATTACTCTTCAGGACAGTGTTACAGAGTCAAGAGATACAGAAGATTATGCCAAAGCTCTACTAACTTGTAACTTCTTCTGGGTTTTTTAAAAATTACATGATTCTCTAATAATTGTTTTATAATTATTTTACTATTTTTTCCAATTTTTTTCAATTTTATTATTCATATGTGCATACAAGGCTTGGGTCATTTCTCCCCCCTGCCCCCACCCTATTTTTTCCAATTTTTACAATTATTTTACAACTTTCTCTCCTGGGACGATCTGTAGCAGTAGTCAGTAAACATAGAATTCTTGTTAACTGGATTAAACAGAACTTACTGTGATATAATTTAAATTACCTTTATTAGTTAGAAATAGTTAATATCTGATTTGAAATATAACCAAGAAATATTATAGCCACTAATAAAGATATAACGATAACTAAATTGTTTCTTCCAAATGTCCTGATCTTTCCCACTGTTGTGTTCGATGTCTACTATTACCATGCCAAACCCCAAATCATTCAAACATGGACCATGGACCCAGGTCAAATCCACCTCCTCATTGGTCCTACTCTCTTTGGATTACTTAAAGTCCCTCTGATTTTCTTTCCCTTTTGAAAGAGAAAGGAGCACTCTGCCGCAAATTCTTGGCCTCCTGGGAGGATTTACATTTTTCTTTGCCTTAGTTATCTGTGTATGCCTCTATTGTGACACTGGGTTCCACAGATCCTATGAGGACACTAAACAAATTGTATTTGTTGTTGTTTATTACCATAACACTTCACTTGGAGCCTTCAAACAGACATAAAAAGCACTTAATGATAATTGTGGGTTGAACAGTGTGTTCACCAATTGCTTAGCTGTGTTTATGGCCAGTCATCAAGTGGCATGTGTAGAATATACCAAAACATCAATGTCTATGCTGTAGGTTCAAAATGAAATTATTTCATGATGGATGATTTCATCTTATACTACAGGGTAACATTGCAAAACTTTGCGTCACAATACCTCTTTATCTATTGTGTTTTTCTGAATCCTGTCTCTAACTCTCCCTTTAACTATCACATTCTCTGCTCATCTTCAAACTTTTCCTTATGTTAACATGAGCTATCCCTATCCTTATGTTAACATGAGCATGTATAACTAAGGATAATGAGAAAAAAATTTAACCTTTCTTTACAAATGCCCTAGGTTTGTTACATCTTTGCCCAGTTTCACAAATAGTTCTTACATGTCTGCATTCAATCCTTAACAAACATAAAATACTAATTTTCAAGTAATTGTTTTACCCAGGATGGATCTGAATGTTTTGAGTTTCAAAAGAGCTGATTAACCCTTTTGCAATCAAAAAGTGTAGGTATGTTGGTGTTACGACAAATAGATCTCTGCTGTTCTTTGCCTTTTACTTTCTCCCAATAGCAAGATCAAGATATGAACCTTGCACCAGCAAATTCTCAGTTATCAGTCCCAAGAGTAAATTAGCTCTGTTCATATTTTCTTTGCTGAGTTCTTATAATCTCAATAAACTAAAAGTTGACATGTGCTTCTAACACTTACAAATGATATGTGCTTCCTTGTGGGTCACCTATGTAACTTTCTCTTCTTCGTAGAAAATATCATACCTGGAAGCCCAAAGTTTCCTAAATAAAAGAAGCCTATAATCTTTAAATGTCAACAGTCTTTTATTTAGAATGTTATTTTCCTAAGACAAAAATGATCAAAGAACTTTATATGCATGTATGGAGATGCCATGATGAAACCCCTTAGCATGTAAAATTCAATACACACTAAAAACTAATTAAATATTACTATACATTTTCCTATCTTATCTACAAAATGAATTTTTGCTGAATATTCATTCTCACCTACTCATTCCCTTTTGCATGTTCAGACTCAAAGCCATTGTCATATGTTTGTAGAGATAAGTGGATGAGAAGTTACCCTAAATCAGAAAGCAGTGTCTTTTTTATTTACTTGTATATTACTAGTTTAGAATAGGATGTGTTTGTTAATTTACTTTGGTATTATAATATAACACACAAATAGAAAAGTACTAAAATCTTATTTATACAGCTTGTTGAATTTTCATTTGTGTATTCTCCAGTCAGGTCAAGAAAAAGACCGTACCTATCATCACGAAGAGCCCCACCATGCCTTCTTCCAATCACTGTCCCATCTCTCCCCAAAATGCAACCTTATTTCGATGTTCATTTTGCTGAATGTGTTAGTGAGCTTTCCATCACTGTGACAGAACATCTGAAAAAACAGACTTAAAGGAGGAAAGATTTATTCAGCTCATGATTGCAGAGGTTTCAGTCCACTTTGTTAGTTTCATGTATTCAAATTAACACTAACTACTTAATGAAAAATAAGTGCCAAAATTGGTAGATTTTGTTGAGTTACTTTTGGGAAATTTTTTCAGGAATTAGAACCACAGAAGCCTTGCAGAGAATATCAAATTTCATATTATTTGTTCTTCAGTGTTCAAATAGATATTGCCGTTGGATTTTAGGATAATGTTATTTTTCTGATGCTGTACAGCAAAACACCACAAATTTAGCAGCTTAAAACAATGCTCCTTTACATCTCGCAATCCTGTAGGTCAGAAGTTGAGGCAGGCTTGGCTGAGTTCTCTGCGTAGGATGGATCTCACAAGGCCAAAGTTAAGGTGACAGTAGGTATTCACTTACCTAGAGGCTCGGGAAGTGAATCCACTTCAAAGCTAATGCAGGTTATTGGCAGAATCAAATTCCCTGGGGTTGATGCTGTGGGGCCCCCATTTCCTTGCTGGCTGTCAGCCATGGGGACTTACTCTGTTCTGGTTTTATAGGGAGCAAAAGTTTATTTTGACTTACAGTTTGGAAGTTTCGTTCCATTATTAGTTATTCCTGTTGCTTTTGTGACTGTGGTGAGAAATTATAGCAGAGAGTGTAGAGTACAGCAGTGCTGCCCACCTTTGTAGCCAGGATGTGAAAAGAAAAGACCAAGGTCCCATAATCCCTTCCTTCCTTCTCACCTGCCCCCTCCATCTTCAAACCAGGATAGCGTGTTCAGTCCTTCACGTTTTAGATTTATGCTTTCTCTACTACCTTTCTTTTCTACCACTAGCTACAGAAAATTCTCTTCTTGCAAAGATTCATCTGAGTACATTCAACCTACCAGATAATCTCCCTTTTTACTCTGACCTTTTTAAGGTCATTGTGGCCATCTGAAACACTGTGTGGAAAAGGATTTTAAAGTTTGAACCAAGCTCAGTGGACACAGCATTGTGATCTCTTACACTGTCTACCTGAGCGCTGAAGGTA